TGTACTAAACTGAGGACAAAAGCTAAATTGCGCATTTGGCAATCAAGGTATTAAACCAGTTGTTGAGTAAATAGTTTTGTGAAAGTTCAAAGATTCCTCATGCTGAAAATTTACCTTGTTTGTGTTTTTTCCTTTTTCTCTTAATGTTTCTCTTTCCTTTTTTATCGTGTAAATATGAATGCATCTCCAATCCCGATGACCACAACCTGAAAATACTAGTCGGTTACCTCGTCTAAAATGTTACTTACTCTTTCCTTTATTTATTTATTCTATCCAATTTGTTTAATATTATGATAATATCCTTTTGATTTCTTTGTTTTTTTACCCTGAACTTATTTTCGTGATGTTTCTCTTTATTTAGTGTTTCACCTTTTTTACTGTTAATATTTTTCTATGTTAAGTTACGTTCTCAGATTGTTTGAGGGATTTAAACTTAATGCTGAGTTTTTCTTCTCGTTTCTCATATCCTAACATACCTTTTTAGTGTAAAGAAGAATGAAATGTGTTTATTTGTGCCTTTTATGTGCCTTATGTGGTGTCACTCTCATTCTGAAGAGTTGCGCCTATTTGGTTCGCTGTGTGTATTACCTCTCAGATCTGTCAAAATTATTACTGAAAAGACTTATCGTTTTTTAATGTTATTGGTCTCTATAAATGCCATACATATCACAATGGCAGAAAAAATTAATCTTGCTTAGTTCTGTTTGATGTTTTGTACTCTTTGTGATGGTATTTATTCAGTAAGAATTAAGAAGTACCTTTGATGCTTAGGAATACAACTATATCTAATAGGAAAACTATTTTTGATGTTAGAAATTTAATGTTTTTTCACCTAATTGTATTATTTTTGTAATTTGTTCATGTTTTTGAAATTGAATTCATTGAATAAAAGGAAAGAAAAAGTCATATCATGCATTTTGTTATATTTTTATAATTTTTGCAACCTCTTTTCAACAAAATCCTCCATAGTAGTAAGTCAAGAATTTTTGTGCAACCCTGATAAGGTGGTAAAAGTTAGGGAATTTTGCTGTTGAAATTTGTTCTCCAATCAAAACATTGCATTTTTCACTTTCAAGATACTTTGCGTTCAAAATTGTGTCTAGAATTATTATCAGAAACCATGGCCCAAAAAAAAGACCCTGAAAAGTCAAGGATTTTGATGTCAAAAGTATCGGAGAAGCCAGGGAATTTTTAAATCTAATAAAACTTCTCACCCTGCAAACAGTGATGATCATGATATGCTGTGACTCTGCTCGTTTTTACGATAATGATCTTGCAAATTGCTGTATTTGGCAAGGCTGTCACATACGGAAGGTACTTAGTAATTAATAGGATATGCTTCTTCCGTTTTTCCAAGTAAATTGACCGAGAAAATGCAGAATAAGGGTGTATTTGTTGATAAAAGCCAGACAAGTACCTATTTACGGCGTGAACAATTTTTATTTCTGTACCTATTTATTATCACATACTTAACTTAAATCTCCTTTTCAATTTAATTAAATACTCAAACCGCCCTATATTCTTACAACGACGATACGATGTATGAATTTAAGTGAAACATTTTGTTGTATTTAAAGTGGAAGAAATGGAAGGTGCGCTCCGGTTATTTCAATGGCTAGGTCTGGATGTAACTATTCAATATCCCTGTTACATACACAGAAAATTGCAGGCGCTCTAGTTTTCATATGCACAACATATGGCTACAGTTGTTAGTTCTCAAGAGTTTTATACGCTGCACTTACAATCGCTTTTACCATGAACTCGTCGGAGTTCGAATGAGCCGTAATGCACTGAACTGCGGCAGCATCGCCAAATGGTGCAAATTTCGGAAATGTCATCGGTAGTTATTTTCGGGATGAACATTCAACGATGCCTTTGTGGAAATCTTTTCGGTGGAAAATTTGCACCATTTGGCAACGCCTCCGCAAATCAGTGCAACACGGCTCATTTGAACTCCGAGGATTTCTTAGTAAACACGATTAGTGTAAATATAACGTAAAAAAAACTCTTGAGAACAAAATAACCGCATAAATACGTTGTGCCCAAGAAAACCAGAGCGCCTGCAATTTTTTGCATATGCAACACGGACATCCCAAGGACACCAATAGTTGCATCCAGACTTAGCCGTTGGAAACCTCGTTTTCGGCCGTTTCAACTGCTTCAGTGGTAAAGATCTTCTCAAATTTAACCTTCCTCAATCAATATCGATGTTGAAACTACCGGACCACGTATCTAGGTCTGCGACGTTGCAGACCCCTGGTAAAAATTGGCAGTATAATCTGTGTTCTAAAATAATATAGACCTACAGCCGACTGTAAGATATCCAATAGCTTCTATAGCCGGCAACACTATTTCTTATAGCCTTTTATAGCCTATGGCGATTAAGCAACAGCCTGCGATAAAAAGTATGCTAAACGTTACTAATTGTATATAACAAATAGGTGGTTTTTATACGAGGATTAACAATTAACAAGTGGTACGGAATATAACAAAATAATATGAACTATGCAAAACGATAATCCGGGTATCGGAACTTGGCCGTGTTTGAAAATACCTTCATATGCGGCGTGATACCTCACGCATTCCGGAGAGTTCAAATAGTTGTATCATTGCGCCGTAAGAATGTGACGACTGATTACAATTGAAATAGCCTTCGCGCACGCTGGGCTTGTCGACATTTTTGCAGTGGTGAATGCATAGCTGAATTGCGCTCCAGCTAGAATTGTATTTAGCAAATGGGTGGTTTTTATACGAGGGATGAACAAAGTGGTTAGAAATGAAAAGAAAATAATATGAACCTTGCAAAACGATAAACCGGGTATCGGAACTTGGCTTTGTTTGAAAACGCCTTCAAATGCGGCGTGATACCTCACGCCTTCCGGAGAGTTCAAATAGTTGTATCATTGCGCCGTAAGAATGTGACGGAAGATTAAAATGGAAATATAGCCTCCTGCACGCTGGGCTTGTCGATTTCCTTCGACATTTTTGCAGTTGTGAATGCATAGCTGAATTGCGCTTCAGCTAGAGGTAAGGAGCATTCTGGAAAAGGGCACATACGCGTTTTTGCCCTTTTTCCGGAAATGGCAGAAACGGATTCCTCGCATCCTAATGTACCGATGTCCCGAGTTTCAGCTTAATTTATCAATTTTTGGAGCTAAGAGACCAAGTTTTGTGAGGCTAAGTCAGGCGTATTTCATCTATTTGCCCCTGGGTACGGTCGCCGCGACGCGACGTTGATCAGATAGCGCGCAGGGCGCAGGCAGGCAGGCAGGTGATGGGTACTGATATAAGTAAGGATCCGCCACTACAGATGCATCGCACTGATTCTACTAATGAATGCAATATCATCGGGTCGCACTGATTGTCTACGCGTTGCACCGGTGACACGTAAAATTTTGTAATTATTAATGATTCAATTTTTAATGGTCTCTTGTGGGTTTGCATTTTTCGTTTTTTTCGCGTGTTTTGCTGCCTTTTTTATTAACGATGATCGAAAATGATCCACCCGCACGTTCGCGATCGAAATTATGATTTATTTTCGTTCAGAAACTCGTTAAAGTCTTGAAAATTTAGCTTTGAAAGCCAAAACCTATAACCACCGGTCCATTTCCGGAAAAAGGGCACATAACGGAAAATTTTAAAAAATTCCTCCCACAACACGGAAAGGAGTTAAAGTTTTACCAATGGTCGTTATTCATTCCAGGGTGTATGAACGTTGATATGAGTGCCCCAGTTCCGATGTATCTCATCATCAGTGCCCAGAAAGTAGGAATGAAAACTTCAAATGAGTTTTTCTCACAACTTGTTTTTTCGGTAAGTGCCCTTTTTCCGGAAAGCTCCTCAATTACGGATGCTAGGACTTAGTGAGTTTTCGGACTACCGCTCTCTTTTTGGGCCGTAGTATCTTGGTTTATTTTGCGAGGAAACCTCCGTACTTTTGAAGGATGGCTGCCATTCCTAAAATGTTGGAGCGCCTTCAATTTCGTATGATACTGTGCAATACCTCTGGTGTGAGATAGTTGCTTCAAGCGCCGTGGTACGCTGCGGCGCGGCGCGGCGGGCAGGCAGCCAGCGCGGAACGCGAATCCCAAGTAGCAGAGATCGCGATAAATGGCGATTTTATCGGTTAACTATCGCGATTTTATCAGTGGCAATTTATCGTAATATTATCGAATGAAAAATTGCAATTTATGGCGATTAAATCGCTATGCATCGCAATTTTTTGTTCGATAAAATCGACATCAACTTTCGTCGATAAAATCGAGATTGAATCGCAATATATCGCGATAAATTGCCGGGCAATAAAATCGCGAGTATTTTGCAACAAGATCGAGGATAATCGCTCAGATGTTGATGATCCTGGCGATTTTATCGCCGATAAAATCGCAACATATCGTCACCTTCCAGGCAAAGTATCACAAGCGCCATGCGACGTTTAAAAATTTCCGCCGCCATTTTATTTTTTTACTGAGAAATTGTTGGTTGAATATGTTCGAAAATTTCACCAAATTTTATCGGCAGCACAAAGAAAATTCGGTGTAATTTTCGGACAGCTTCGTCGAACAATTTCTCTGTTAAAAAATATAATGGCGGCGGAAAATTTTAAACGTCGCATGGCGCTTGTGATACTTTGCCTGGAAGGTGACGATATCGCGATTTTTACGTTGAAAAATGCTACTAGGGATTGGCGCATACAAACCTAATAGAGATACTTCACGCATTGCGCAATGAGTGAAGTATCCCTGTTAGGTTTGTAGGCGCCAATGCGCCGCCGCTCCGCTTTGCGTTAGGCTCTAATATTTAATCTCGTGGAGTCAGCGTTTTTCAACTCATGACTTTGAAATGTTCGCACACTCTGTATGGATTATTCTCACTTTAATTGATGAAAAAAAATATGTAGTAAAGGAAAATAAAATGTGCGTTTTGTAAATATTAAGGTAATTCCGTACAAACTTAAGGATTTACAAAGCACACAAATTTCTACACAATTTTTTATAGCCTTTTTTAGCCGATGGCGAAAATGCAACAGCCAGGCGATAGGAACTATAGCCCGGCTGTATAATTTTTCATCGCTTTGTGTAGCCCGGCCGTATGATTTTTTCCACTTTCTACAGCCAGCTTTATGATTTCCTTTCTCCTTCTTCAGTCGGCTGTAAGAACTCCTATAGTATTTTGAAACGCAGCTCCTATCGCCAATTTTTACCAGGGCTTCGTGTTTTACCTCATATTTCAAATTGATAACTACTTAGCAAGTCAGCTTCAATTCTTGAACTTCCGGGATTTCTTTTCTCTGTGCGAAAAAAACTCTGAAAACTCCATGAAACTCTGTGGAAGGCATGATATTTATCTGTTCTCTTTAAAAGAGGAAATAAAGTTCAATGAGAGCGGAGATTTTAAACACCGTATACGAGATGCGTGGTCTGATAGTTTCACCGTCGATATGAAAGCGAAAGCTATCAGAATCTTTCTGCTTTGTTTATATGAAAGAACGACTGTTATTGTGGTCCCTCAAACTATAATCTGAATCCGATAAGAATAAGTGTCCTAGTGAATGTAGTAAATAATATCGGCTCTGAAAAGCAAATGACAAAATATTTATTTTCCAACGAAATAATTTATTTCATTATAAAACTTATGGAAAACTCGGTCTTATAGCGGTGGTAAATGTGGTCAGTTTAATTGAGGAGCTTGGAGGACAAGGTGCATGAGTGCGCAGTTTTTGAAAACATTAAAAAATTAACGATTTCAAGTAAAAATAGTCTTAATGCACATTCTGTGAAAAATTCGCTCCCAAATTCCAATTTTTAAGCATCAAAAAGTCAGTTTAAACTTTCTCTCCGCCGTAATAAGGATCCATGTATTTTCTAAATTTCAAACAGATCATATTTCTCGAAATGGCAAAAATTGCACTTATATGCGCTTCGTACTCCAGCTCCTCGACTCTCCCAATAACATCAGAGCAGTATGCATGTGTCGTAAATGCCTTCTTTTCCTCCTTTTTTTTCAATTCACATACCTAGAGCAACGGAAGTTTTTTTTAACTTTCCAGTGCCCGAACTGCTCACCACCTGTTGACACGCCACACAAATTTTTGAGAAATCGATTCGAACATTCTCAGTTTAGATGTCGGGCAAAATATCAACCCACAATAATGAGATTGCCTTGTTTTCCCTTCATAATTCCAGGAGTAACGTTGAGTCCTCTAGTAATACTGATTAAGCCTTGTTTTTCTCCCACCCGATTGTGGCAAATCCTGAAACAAAAATGACACTTGTTCACAAATCTAAAGATGTAGCTTTACCTACTTAAAAACTTACTCAGTTTGAGAAGATTGTCGTCAAAAAGCAATAACCTCAGGTAAAATTAGAAGCTTTTAATGAAGACAGACAATCAAGTTATTCACCGAGTAGCTAGCCGTTGCTCACGATGAAAACGCCTTCAAATACCACTCACCGCAACACAACTTGCACAAAGTACGTACTGAAAGTTGCCTACTAAAGATTTGAAGGCTACACGATCATGGAGAGTGTACCGTAAGCAAAGCGTGCTAGGTGGAAGTCTTTCGACAGTGACTAGCTCATTCTCGATTTTAAAATTGGCTTTTATTTATATTTTCTTCCTTGAACGAAGCAATATACAAATATGCTAAAACTTCATAAACTCTCAAATTTAAGGACGGTTTTTTTTGTTTTTGTTTTTTGGCTTTATCTTACACCAAGGGAACTCCCAGGATAACAAGAATAGGGGATGGAGAAAAGGAAGGAAGATTGAAGATTGTGAGGAGATAAACATTTTGAGAAAATCTCAATTCTCAAAACTGAACACCCGATTGCAAAATCTTGTTATGAGGAGATTGGAGAGCAAACTCTTTTTTTGGGAGCATTACATGTTACCAAAATTGTGTCATTATTTTTCTCTATTCCCCAAGTTTCATTCAAACTAGAACGGGTAAGTTATGGAAGTGGGACAAAATCATCAGAATTGTCCCTGAAATGCTTGTTATTTTATTTATTCATTATTGAAATCTAGTCGCCGAATACTTACGGTTGGCTGTTTGGAGCGTTAATATTAAGTATCTCCGGTCTTTTGATCATTTTGATTATCCAGGTAATCATCTCGACTAGGAAAGGAACTTCTAACACCAAGTCACCCTGAAAAAAGATAAGTCAATGAGATTCAGAACGGATACTGGCCGGATTAGGAGGGAGTGATATTCATTTGGCCCTACAAATATATGATGCATTTTGATAAAGATCAAAAAAAAATTTCTCAAAACTGTCTCATACCCTCCGTTGTGACATGCACGTGGACATCCCCATTTTTACTCGAGAAAATGCGCGTTGCATACTTACTCAAATGAAGGCGAACTGATCAAGCCCTACGTCAAGTTATAGCGGAGCCTTTGCATGTTTCAAACACTTATCCAGTACTTACAAACATCCTCCTTAACTAGATACCTAACGTCTACTAAAAGTTTTATCAGGACAGTGGGAGGTGCTTATTTACAACACATAACAACCCTCCGTAAAAATATTTTCGATTGGCACCCTATCTACAGTAATAAACGATAAGGTTTACGGCCAGGATGATTAACTTACCTTTTGGTTCTTCAGATGTAGAGGAACTCGTATCAACAGAAAATTATCTCTCTCCGAGGTTACTTCTAGTTTTTCTATGCAGTTTAAAGGAAGTTTTTGTTTTAATTTTAGGGTTTTCCCTTCGTCGGCAACTACGTATAGATTCCTATCCGTTACCACCAAAATCCTCTTCCGACGTTTGTAGCCATGCCTGTCAAATTTCGTAATTGGGGTAATATACTGAAATCAGGTAAAGAATAAGACAGAATGGTTTATAAGTATCAAAATAATATCTATAGCGAGTAGAGATTAATCGTAATTTTACGGTTGAAGTCTGTAAAGACATTAAAAGCCTTAACAGCTAAAGCTCTAAAAACAATGATAACTAACTAACCATAATTATGTAGGTGACCACGCCCTCTCGTGATTTCTTTAAGAAAATATGAAATGAAATACTTCAGTGTAAAACTTGATCCCAAGAACCCGACGTGTTCTTGATAAGCCTATTCTTGCGCCTTAGGTTGGCAGGGGTACATGGTACAGGGGGTTATAACAGTAAGTTCCTAGCGTTAAATGATAGCGCAAAGCTCCATGATATATTTTATACTTTGGAAATTATGACATTAAGAAAAGGAATGTAAACTCTTTGAGAACATATGTATTGTCAGCTCTCTAAAAACTTGGACTGGTTTTGACGTTATGAGCTACTCAAAAACTCAATTTTGATTCACACCATGTCTAAAATGTTTCTCTTTATATTTAAAATATACACAAAGTATATTTCAATTCCTTGTTTTCGTAATGCACCAGACGATATACTTACTACGTGTACTGCCATTTCAAATTTAACATATTCACTGACCTGAATTTTTTCGTTAGAGGAGACATTGAAAGGCACGAATGTCACTTTTAAGAGTCTTGATTGTTCTGCTGGCAGTCTGTTTTCGGCAAATTTTTCATTTCCACTCACCTCATAGCTCTTTTTTGTGCCTGAAATGAATAAAAATGATACAGTAAATTGTGTAGGCGCCTATTACATCGTTTCAAGAACGATCATGCAATACATCTGTCCACTGCATTGCAATTTTACTTCATGATTTCTTCAAAATTTCTCGTACCTCGTCTTTTATGATTATCTCAGTTGTGACACATTGATGGCCTGAGTTAAAGAATGAGTATCTCCGATTGCGACGTTACAAATCGTCGTTTTCCGCGTGAAAGAACGTAACAGCACTTCTACGTCGTGTAATTTGTACTACAAATTGTATTTTAACTATAGAAACATATTGCACATTTGTGACTGAACTTCACTGAATTTCCTCCTGGCAACACCTGAAAATCGGTAAAATATTGGAGACAAATTTTACAATGATATTTTCGTAAAGAATTAAATTGTTAGAGTCAATTTTGCAATCTTGGAATGAAGTTATGTTTCTCCGTCTATAGAAATGACGGAATATGCGCTCAGGTTTAGTTTTTTTCTTTAACGAAATTAACAGTTTTTCTTGAAATTTTCTAACAATATTGTTCCCTCATTCAAATAATTTACCAAACATTTTAATGAAATTTTTCGGTTAATATCTTTTTGAAAAAAGGAATAAGCATAATGCACGTTGCAACTAGGTTACACATTTTTTTTTACATTGTTAACCATCGATGTGGTACTTTGGTGATACGCTCTTAGAATTTCGAAAGGAAAAAGTCCAAGTTTCAGCCCCTGCAGAACTACGTCGAAATGTCAACATTTGAAGAGCTTTTAGGCGAGTTAAACATTATAGATACCTTTGAAGAGCGTTTCCGCCAATGTTTTTAGTTTCAGCTGTCTCTTGCGTTCCAAGGATTGGGCGTGCCTGTGTTTTTTTGCAGCCCATAGTTTGTGCAAGCGTCGGAAATGCGATGTGGCCTGGAAAAAAAGATAACTTCAGTTAACATTCTTTACTTGTGTTGAAGTTTCCGCAAAGGCAAGTTCTTTACGGAGGGTTAAATTTATTTATAGACATTCCCATATAATTTATGGACTAAAACAATTTTTTTCACCATCAAAAAGTGAAGTAGCCACCTGATTTGACAGGGATAGGAAGCTACTTAAGCCGCCATGTACTTTATTCATTGTTATTTCTTCTGAAGGGGGGGGGGAGTTAGAACCCTCTTCAGAAATGATGGAATTCACCTAAATTTGAGTAAAACAGGGCTTATAAACAATACAGAAAGAACACATGTTGAGATTTCAACGATATAATATTTTACCATACAGCGATCTTCTCCATAAAATTTCAGAAAAATAAAGAGAATTAAAATAAATAAGATTATCGAAGTAGAATATTGAAAAAATGGGAGGTGAAGTAAGACGTAGTGATAGAAAGTTTTGGAGCAATTTTACATGTCCGCTTTTCAATCAGCATTCATGCTAATGAGATGATCAATCCATCTCCGGAGTTGGTCTCAATAGTAAATTGATTATGAAGCTATGAAACCACATTTCTTAGTTTCCGACGTCGTTGATTTTCTGACTCATTTTATTTGTTTGAAAATAGCCGATAACTGCAGAAGGTAAAATTTCTTGCAAGTTTTCCTCGCCATCTTAAAAGTTTATACCCTATGTAATAAACTTGATTTAAAACTTAAATGTGCTATGAACGATATGCACAAATCGATTTCGACTTTTTCATTCAAGATCGATATAGATGCCCACCTGTTTGCATACGCTTGTCTTGGTGGCCCAGGAATGAGAAAAAATCCGTGCATGGAAGGACTTTGATAGCCCCAACCAGTAGTGTATTTTCATGGCTTGAGAGATTCTGATTTTGAGATCATTGGTCGCGTCTCGACCCAGGAAGTCCATTTTAGAGGCGCTGAAATCAGGGAAGCGAATCTGTATAGACTTATGTGGAATCCAACTGGAATTGAGAGGCTTGAAGGACAAGGCGCACAAGTGCATGCAGTTTTTGCTATTTTGAGAAATACGTGTTTGAAGTTTCAAAATTACACGGATCCTCAAGGCAGAAAGAAAGTTCAAAGTGACTTTTAGATTATTAAAAATTGGAATTTGGGGGCGAATTTATCTCAGAATACGCACCAAGACTAGCTTTACTTGAAACCATTAATATCTCAATTTTTTCAAAAACTGCACCTTATGGGCCTTGTCCTCGAAGCCTCTCAATTGGACTGAGTTAAGCAGAAAGGAACCAACCCACATTTTGGAAAAAATTGAGTTATGAGTGGTTTTGAACTCAACCACTTCTCTTCTATCTATCGCCAAAAATTCAAAGTTTTTGTTGGAGCAAATTTTGCAGAAATTGAACTTGAAGATTCACTTTTACATTGAGTCTTATGCAGGAGCTAAACTTTAAGCCTCTTTTTCTCGGTTCGATCCCGATGTGGCTTGGTTCCTTTCTGTTTAACTCCGTCCAATTAGGGATCGTTCAAACAATATGTGACATACTTTTTGAGGCTTTTCATGTAACGTTCCCGTAATGCTAACCTCTCTTGAGCACCCTTTTTTGAGAGTTATTTTTATGAAAACGGACAAAAATAGGAACAAGACAGTAGGTACTTTTGATAGTGAATTGAATATATCAAATACCTTTCGGATTATTTTTGTACAAACTAATATACCTTTGTAGGATTACTTCCTGGAAGTATTAAGTTAGTTAGTTAGTTAATTTGATACGGCGATCAGGCACTGAATTACATGAATTGATAGTGTAATATATTCTATTTCATCAAAGCTTTAAGTAAATAGTTTAGAATAGCGGCTGCATGCAAAAAAAAACTCAAATTAAAGAGTAGTAATAGTTATGGATAAACAAGGAAACTTATTGACAATTTTTAAAGAATACTGGGGGGATCGGTAATAGCAAAATTTTAATTTTTTAAATGTATTCAATGAGTCGGAAAGGAAGGAAAGATTACATACTCTCTTTGAAGCAGTGATTTTAATTTAAGTTTAAAGGAATAATGGAAAAAAATGGAAAGGTTCTCTAAAATTCAATCGTGATATCGAGCAAGTAATTAGAAAAGTTTTCCTGGTTGAATGATTCCAATCAATTACACCAGAGTACTGATAAATGCTTTTCAAGGTTGATGAAATTTAAGGTCAATCAATTAAATGATAAGCGTAAAAATAAAACTGATTTGCTTTATTCTGGGGTCAAAAATCACCGTGGGCAGATAAGGGTTTACAGCCACGCAATAATGTTTTTTTGGCAATGCGCGTGCAGAGAGGCTTATACAGGTCGAGTGAGAGATTTTCGAAAACAGAAAAAGTAAATGATACATATAACGAAAGTTGGTTCTGAATGTTTTGACCAGAGAATAAAAGAATCGGTTGAAAATTTGGTTCACAAGAACATTTACGGATTTGGTATTTCCTGGTTTCAATTTCGTAATTTTTTTTGTTTTAAGAAAAATAAGTTAAACACTTGATCTTCAGACAAGTTTTCACTCTTTTTGTGTCTTTTTTTCTCGGGTTAGTTAATAGTTATGTCTCAATCAATTCTTACATTGATGACCAAAGTGTGAAACCACGCATCTCCATTGCGATAATTCACAATTTTCGGTAGCATGTTATTTTTTGAAGAGACAAGCCATTTTCATAGTTTCAAATTTACATTAGATATTTCGCTAATAAATAGGAAAAATCAAGGATGTTTTCAAGAAGTTGCGTCCGCTAGCTGTCTAAAGAAAAATATAGTATAACGGAAAGCTCGTAATTTCGCAAACGGATGTACACAAGTTTCCCCAATTTGGTCATCGATGTGTCTTATTTTTCGAGCAGAATCCCTATATAATATGGCGGTAGAACGTTTCATATGCATCAGGTATGTAATTGTATGAATTATTTTAATGCAATGATGTACGAATACCCACGGCAAAGATAGGCAGAGGGTGTCTCGAAAATTTTAAAGGGCTGTGTATTGGTGGCGTGGCTTGCTTTGCGATTTATCGATTGATCTGCCATTAAACTTATGGAAAAAGATCGATAAACGGGGGGGNCTTAAAAATCGATTCTTTACCATAGCTTCAAATGGGGAAATTTTAATTATTGTTCACGCCTCGCCACTGTTGTGTATCTGGTGGCTGGCGCAATGGTAGTCTTCGTCTCCAACAAATACACCTATTTTTAAAAAATAACAGATACTGTAACTTGCATACTCACGAGCAGGAGAGTAAGTTAAACTTATCTGAATCAAGTTCAAAGAATTTAACTTACTGCAAATTTTTACCACTAAAATTTCTCAGGTTTCTTTTTCTTCCTAATTAAAAATAAATAAATCAAGGGAAAAAGGAAAAACTCGCTCATCCTTAGAAAAATTGAATGACGGGAGAAATGATTTCAAAACCTTATGAGTTAAAAAGTAGATGAGAATTTAAAAAAGCTAACAAACCTCACGTAAGAAGCGATTTGAACCAAATCATCCGCCTTTCTCGTTTTTCAAAATTTGATAGACTACCATCAGATATCAGCCGGCGGTTCTAGAAAACAGCTTAAAAAGTGATTTCAGCGAGTCACCAACACTTGATACTTTTCACACAAACTGAGCCATCCTCACAAAATTTGCTCAGTGGGATGGTGGGGGGAGGGGGTGGCTATTTTGGCACTATTACTAGGCAAAAAAGCGTATGAGAGCTGATTCTAGATCCTTGCCACCGAATCCGAATTCAGACTGCCCGCGGCGCGGAAATTTGACGCAGCAGCCGCGCTGATCGAGGATCGTGATTGGCTAGTCCCGCCGCGGACGTGCTCGGACGGGCGAGGNGGGGGGGGGGGGGGCTGGTCAACAGAATCGCGTCCGACCTTTGAAAGGTCAATTGACCTCTTTATTTTAATGAGTGGGTCAGAAAATATAGAGCTTACAATTGGCGTCTTCAAGCTCGACAGTATGACTTCAATTAGCATCCTCCTTCGCTCGCCCCCCATTCCCGGCAGATTTCGACAACGTTGACAAGTTGTCGCATTATTCATTCACTCGAAGCCTTATTGATGCAGTCGAAGTGGATTCCTTAAAATGGGTAAACGTTGGCTGGGTGATGACGTAACATTTTGCATGTCGAAGGCAGACGTCGCCTGTGAACCCTGAATTGACCAATCGATAGGATTAGAAGCCGAGCATCGCGATAAAAGTCTCTTCATCAAAATTTCACTTAAAATAAAACGTATGTATTCGGGAGTTTGTGTGTTCGACTCATAATTGGACCGCGTTTAGTAGAAAGGAACCAAGCCACATTAGCCATTGCAAAATTTAATTGTGCAACTCATTTTTTTTACGAGAGAACGTTTCTCGGCTTCTTTTGAAAATTATAGGGAATTCGCTTCGCACTATGCAGAAAATTCAATGAAATTTGCAACAAATCCGCACAATCGTTTTTATGTAAAACATTAAATTACCCAATTAAATTTGGCAATAGCTGATGTGGCTTGGTTCCTCTCTACTAAACGCGGTCCAATTGAAGCGCTGGGTGCAGAAAAGGCATTTCTTGGTTACCGTGTTTCAAAATCGCCTCTAACGTTTCATCCCTCGTGATTGAAGCAATTTTATTGTAATTTTTACTGAAAATTCTTCATGATTTTTTAATGTTGAAAACGTAAAATTTCGGGAAATTCACTCAATAGTTTCCTCTCTAAAATATAAATTAGCACTGAAGATTCTTGAACGCTGCAATCGAGAAATGCTTTTTCAGCACCCTACGCCTCCATTAAGTTTTTTTGTGTTCGTACAAATTGCAAACTTACCGCATGCTAAAAAATCAATATATACTCGAATCGAAATGGATACAATGTAACGGAGTTGTTCATCAAAGGAGAGAAGAAATGGTTGTGAAATCCAAACAAAAGTTATTTGCCAATTGATGCAGAATTTTTTCACAGCTTGGTTACTTAGGTCGATTTTATAGTTTACATATTTCGCATCACAAAAAAAAAAATTCTTGTTGATGGTAAGTAAAACGCGAATTCTTTTTTAAAAAACTTTTCGATGAAACATAGTGTTTCAATGCTACTGTGGCCTGCATTTCATTCTGATTTAACTGCTCTTAGAGATAATTACAAAACCTTAGAATCTTGAATCTACGCGATTAAATTTGGAGCGGACACATGCTGTGTGCATTCACACGTGACCGTAATGCTGACTTACCAGAAATATTAACAATTACTACGCATCATCAATGTAAAATATACCGCATGTAAAAAAGATCTCTTTCAAGAGCAGCTGATAATTTTAGTGACCATTCACTCTTATTATCAGTCATTTTTACAAACCTGATTGCTATTGAAAGTTCAATGTTTCCACAAAAATCAAACAGCTTTTATCTGTATCATCGACGTTGCAACGCTGATAGATTGCAGTGTTCTGACGTACTCATTGAACAGTAGCGCCTCGTGCAAGCGCATCAAGAAAGTACTGCTTTCCTCAAGAAATCTAAGAATGAAAAGTACTTTGTAAGAGATAAAAAGAAAGAAAATAGATCGTATGGACTCAAATCAGACCATGGACCTATAATTATCAGGACTAAGGCTGCTATTAAAAGTTTGAAGGTATTTTCTGGCATGCAAGGGATGCATCAATTCTTTTCCTCACATGTAATTGCAACACGCAGGATGTTTTCTGGCCTAACCATGACTAATGAAGGTAAATAAATGAAGAGGATAGACTTACTCTCTACAACTTCTAAAATCTAGTACTAAATAGGTTACCTTTTCACGCAGAAAACGTCCCTGTACCATCAAATGGACGCATTTCTGTCAAACGGAACTATGTGCATGATGACGTAATGCATGTATTCTTATGGGTCTCAGGGCTCATGTCTTAATGCACATAGTTCCGTTTGGCAGAAATACGTTCAAATAACTCGTACAACCCACAAAAGTGACCCCCATTCGAGTTTTTCATCTCAGCTGTGCGAGACATAGGCACAACTCCTATAAGCAAAAATCGTATAACAACATAAATCATAAGCAAGTCATCAAAACTTGACCGCGGGTCTATTCAGTACATTGTGGAGATTTTATCGGATGAAAGGTCAAAAACTGTGTCAGCTATGAATTCTTAATGAAAACTGAAAGCTTTCTTCGTAATAACATAAGAAAGGAGTCGGAAAAGGGCGTTGATGGGCGTTCAACAAAGTGTGTCGAGATGAAATTCCAAGCGCCCTCTCCCCGCGTTTAAATCCGAAATCTGTTGCACATCAACGGTGAAACTCCAAAACTACGCTGTGTTTCAAAATCTCCGCTCCATTTTCATTTTTTTGAATAATAATGAATCAACATTATTCTTCACAGTTTTCACAGAATTTTCTTCGCGCAGAGGAGAACAATCAAGGAGGTTTTAAACAATCGACGTTGAGTAGCTCTCCCTTCAAAAAATAAAACATGACAGGAAGTCCGCAACGTCACAAATCGAGATACGTGTTATAGGAGTTTCACCATTGCTGCATCTGATCCGTTTTCAAGGGTAAGCACATGAATTCCTAAAACGAATCACTGTAAAATTTTCACCGTACCCGTTACTTTTGATTTGGTGGCAGTATTCTTGATGATTGCAGGAGACTGGGGAAATGACCTCTTGGTTCTGCTTTGAGCCTAACTGCACTTTTACACCACATGATATTCGAAGTGCATCAGAACAACGCAGGAAATAAAGAGCGAAAGAGGAAAACACAGAATGAGAAAACAACTGCTGACTGGTTCAATGGGATGGATTCAGCCAACATTTCTCGTGGTAGAATCAAAACAACATAAACATCTGCGAAACTTCTGTGAATTTTATATTGTTTATAAAGAACATATACCTATTCATAAAATTTCAATCGAAGATTTTCCTTGCTTTCCTTGAGAAATAAATAAAGTACGAGAGGAAATTAGCCGCCAGTTGATGTAGATACAGGCTAATTTTGGCAATGCCACATGGCTATTCTACTATATAAGTTATAGTCCATGCAGAAGTCCAGGACTCCAGATCTTATTGTCTTGAATTGGTTTTAAAATTGAAGGCTTTTTGTGTTGACATCCGCCTTCTCCGAGGACCGAATGGTCCAAGTGGGGTGGGATTTTATAAGGCTAATTGAATGGCTGTATAGTTACAAAGCACCATGGGAGTAAAGTCCTCGAAGAACCCGTTCATAAATTAGTACTCAAAGCGGGGAAGGAAGGCAGGGCAGGGGGTAGGAGCAGGGTGAGGGGAGGGGCTACTTGATGTTACAAAAAAATCGTTGCGAGACGTTATGGTTTTGGGGAAACTTTCTTGATACTTTAGGTGAAGATATTTTTGACCATGTTAAATATTTTCCAGCTAAAAATCAACGCAAAATCAGAAAATTAAGGAGAATTTGAATATATCTGACTAAGTGAAAAATCCTGAATGTAATTTAGGTTTCTTAATCCTTTCCCCAAACTCATTCCTTTAAAATACCCGAGAATCGATTAAGTGTTACCTATCAGATTTTTTTGTGAATATTTTGATTATATAATAAAAATTTAAAAAAATTTCAAAAAAATGGCTTTTTAATTTTTTTTTTTTGAAAAAAAAAAAAATAAATGTAAATAAAATACGATTGGAAGTAACACCGCAATGGAAGTTACGTATTTATAGACTGCGGTGTCTAAGAGGTCTCTAAGAGGGCGAAATTTCGGTATCCGACTCCACCCCCAACTCGAGGTTCAAGTGAATTCTTCTTGCAGTTTAATGAGAGAGCTCACGCGATTAGTTTTTCCCGATACCGCCAGAGAACGCTCGACTCAACATACGAGCGTAGGAAATACTGGAGTGCGAGAAATAATTGCTATTTTCTCATAACACCCCGTCCCCATCCCCCATGTTTAATTACGGCGACCCTCACGACGACGTCTCTCGCGCGAGTGACTGCAAGGTCACCTGTCTGGGTCAACGACCCCCGCAGTCACTCACCCCTCCAGCCAAGAGACCCCTTCGGTGCTGGCCGCTAAAGTAAACTTTGTCCACTACCCTGTGGAGGACCATGCGAGCAGACCGGCCGGTTAAGGTAGAACTCCCATTGTATAGATACAATTTGTAAAATGTGATAGCGGTAATTGGATTACTATCTATATTTGGCACTGATAAGCGTGCTTCTGATAGACTTGACGTGAATCCAAGGTAAAAGTTCCGTGCGCCGCGCCGATACGATCTCGTTAATTAACTTCAATTCACGTGGGTTATTAAAAAAAAAAAAAAAAAGTTGATCGAAAACTTCTCTTAACAGGTTGTAATGGTACTTCAGCCAGAACAGCCCAACTACATCAGACATTGTCTAATATTCACTCATGTTTCATTTTTTCAACAAGGAAACTAAACAGCATTTTGACTTCAAATTGTGTAAGTTTATTCATTCTGTGTTAGGAATTGAAAAAAGGCAAAAAGTTTCAAAACTACAATGAAATACAATGACAAGAAACCAGGCAGCATTAAAGGATTCGCACTTAAGCCATCGACCTATCGAATGTTTCACATCCATTTATACTGACAAAATCTCAAACTGTAAACCTGCGGGAATATCCACCACTGTGTCGGATCGTTTCATCGAATGGTCAGACTCTACGACGTCAGTCCCCAGGCCAATCACACAACGGACGGTCGCGGTCGGTCGTAACAAGGTATGGCGACGTGCAGTGCACGCAAATGGGGGGTTTCTCGCTGTTTACGCCGGGGAACCAACGGGGAACGGTAG